GTAGTTTTCTGATTTAAATCCCAAACCTCATTTATATTCATTCACAGCACAGCCATAACTGGAAGGAGAGGGAACTAAGAAATGTCTGCTGTGCTGCTTAACCAACTTATAATGTTGTAAATCATTAAAAAAAAAAAAAAAAATGTAAAAAAGAGCAAATTGAAGCTAATTTCTTTTGTATTTTTATTTGACAAAAGAATGTAAAACCTGGAATCAACGTGAATTATAATGCTGATATTTTTTAAAAAGAGAGGAAAAACATATTTCTTTGCTTATTAATTTAACAAAAATAATTAGAAATTTAAAATGTAGTTTTAAATAATTAGAAATGTTTAAATAACATTTTCCAAGTGCCCAAGAGAAGGAAAATAAACAAAAGGAAATATGGCGAGCAAGACATTGATGTCTGAGTAAGGAAAAACAGATTGGAATGAATCTCAAGGGCTGCAACTAATAATTATTTTCATTATCAATTAGACTGCCTATTATTTACTTGATTTATCACGTAGTCTGTGAAATGTCAAAATGTATTCGTATTCATATTCGTACCCATTACAGCCTGCAGTTCGGCTGAAAAGTCCTTAAATTTTTGTCACCTAACTCTTGGTTGAAGGTGAGTCAGTAATGGCTTCACAATTCTGCTCAGTTGTCCAGATTTTTTGGGTTTTTACAAAATCTAATTCGAGCAAACCAATTATTTTTAGCGACTTTTTACATGAAAGTAAAATGATGAGATATCACGACTGGAACCTTTGATTTAGTGAAGTTTTCAGACAGAATAAGCGCCGTGGGAAATTTCAGTTTCTGGTTCTGATAAATGCTGTAATTTCAGTGATTTTAGTGAAACATGATGTCTTCCTAACCCACTGCTGGGTTTTTTGGGGGGAGTTCAGGGGGTTAATGCGGTCCTTCTATTCAGCTCTTCTATTGCTAAACAGCTGTCCTGTTTATTTTTGGCCACTTCTTTTTATGAGACAAGTCAAATAAAGTGATTTTGATGAAATATCATGATTTAAACCTTTGATTTAGTCTTTAGAAGTCAAAGTTCAACAGATTGTACAGTTTCTGCTTCTGATAAATGGTGTGATTTTGGTGATTTTGTGGAACATGTTGTCTATTTTTATTTAAAGTCCTCTTGTTTCTGGCACTTAGACAGTCGTGTCTCCACTCATCGGACCACATCTCATTCAGCCGGACACATGGCTGTTACCCAAACTCACATTTACACACAGAAACACACAAGAAGAGACACAAGCACCTGATTTTTTTTTTGCACATGAATGCTGGCGTGCACACACGGAAAGTAACTAAATTTAAAGCGTGTTGTCAGATGGGATTTGCCTGCAGAGGAGAAGCATCCTGACCATCTCTCTCTCTTTCTCTGTGCAGATGTTGCAGCCCCAGTTTAAACCCCACAGCATCCAGCAGGTGCTGCTCAGGCTCTTCCAGGTATTTTTATTTTATTATTAATTCATCTTTCCATTACCGTGGTGCTTTGGAATCAGCCAAGTCATTACTTCACAATCCGGGGCCAAAGGCTGAGTGGAGCAGATTGTCTTTATTACACATTATCTGCGACCTGTATATCTTATTTTCTTTCCCATTCCGCCTCTAAACGCAGCACAGCGCTCTCACATCAGGCTGTATGTTTAAATATCTTAGTCTGGCTCCCCGAGGGCAGAAGTGCTTCATGTATTTTTCATGCAGGTTCTCATAAAGAATTCACTCCAGTATTGCGAGCAGGATGTATTTTCACAGTTGGGTCTGTGCTGCAGGTTACCTTATTTTATGTGTCTTGCTGTTCTGGTGTCCCATTTCATTTCCTCTCTTGCTCGAATCCACTCTGCTTGATTTGATCGCGGCCGTCTTATCGCAGGTGATTCCCGGAAGGTCGCCGTACGGCTCGTGGGATCCGGGACGCTGCCTGCGCTGCGCCGTGGTGGGAAACTCCGGAAACCTCCGCGGGGCCGGATATGGAGCGACCATCGACGGACACAACTACATCATGAGGTGAGAGCAGAGTGGATGCACTAGATAAGAGCAAGGAGGTAAATTAGATCCCGAGATGAAGGCTGGAAGGAGACGAGCAGGAGGGAAGAGGGGCTTCATGTGAGGAAAACTCTACACCACCACCATCACCACCACCACAGCACTGAGGTTCCACTGACAGCAGATGTGTGTGTCAGATACTAAATTTAATCTCACTCTTGAACCGTCTGAACCTCATGCAGTTTCTGGGTGTTTTACTCACTGTAAGTTTATTTTTCACTGCAACATAAAGTCCTGCACCTCCATGGGAACAGAACAACCATGACTAGAAGAAACAAGAATCCTCATTGCAGTATAAAACAGTTATAATGCAGTATATCACAAAACAACAAAGACAATTAAATTAAATTATTTATTCTAGAAAATTTGCACAAAAAAAACGGACTAATACTCACATTTTGCATTTTCCACAGTAAACCTGCAGACCATAGTTTTCTGATTTAAATCCCAAACCTCATTAATATTCATTAACAGCACAGCCACAACCAGAAGGGAACTAAGAAATGTCTGCTGTGCTGTTTAGCAAACTTATAATGTTGTAAATCATTAAAAAAAAAAAAAAAAAAGTATAGCTAATTTCCTTTGCATTTTTATTTGACAGAAAATAACAACCTGGATTCAACATGGATAATAATAATATCTGTACATTTTTTAAAAAGCAAAAAGTTGATTTCCTTGCTTACTTATTTAACAAAAGTTGGATAAAATGCTTTTCTTTAATACTTAACATTTTCCATAGATGTAACACCCATTACACAGCCTGCAGTTCATCTGAAAAGTCCTTGCAGTATGAAAGAGTTATAATGTGGTAAATCATAAAACAAAAAGAAAAGCTGTAATTCAATTTCTTTATTTATTTTAAAAACATTGAGGAAAAAAAGAAAGCTGGATTAAAACTCACATTTTGCATTTTCCCCAGTAAACCTGCAGACTATAGTTAAATGATTTTAGATCCCTAACTTCATTTATATTCATTAACCCTCTGAACCTCAAGGGTTTTTTTTGTGTTGTTTAGCTCCTGTCACATTTTCACTCACTGTGGGTTCATGTTTCACTGCAGTATAAAGTCCTGCACCTCCATGGAAACAGAACAACCAGCTACGACTACAGAGAACTCAGAAATGGTTTCTATGAAGTATGACACAATTATAATGCAGTAAAATCATAAGAAAGAAAAAATCTTACATCATTTGTTTTGCAAAATTGTAAAATAAAAATGGAATTAACATGTTGTTTAAGTAGTTTATCTACACATTTTTGAGTAAAACTTACATTTTCTAATAAACCTGCAGACTGTAATTATCTGATTTTAAATCCCTACCTTCAGTAATATTCATTAACCCTCTGGACCCAAATGTTTTGGGCGTTTCTGCCACATTTTCACTCGCTGCAGGCTAGCTGTTCACCGCAATATAAAGTCCTGCACCTTTATGGAAACAGCACAACCATGACTAGACGGAGACAGAACACAGAAAGGGCTTTTTTTCTGTTTAAAAAACTTCTATTGTCATAACAAATTTTAAAAAGAAGAGATAAAACTACATTTCTTTACTTATTTATTGTACAAAAATCGGAAAACAACAACAACAACAACAACAACAACTGGACTTAATAAAATGAAACAAAAACAAAACAGCATTTTTCCAAGTGCCCATAGGTGTTAACAAAACTAGAAAAAAAAATGTTGGCCTCACAAATATGTTTTACTTCTCACATCTGTACCTGTTTCCTGTCTGCTCTGTGTGAACACTGCCTGCAGTTCAGCTGAAAAGTCCCTGAATTTTTGTCATGTGACTGTTGATCACAGTTGAACCACTAATGATTGAACGGTTACACAAAGAAGTTCAGAATTTTTAGTTTTTTTTACAGAATCTAATTCGAGTAAACTGATTATTTTTGGCGACTTTTTAGGTGAGAGTAAAGTGATGAAATATCTCGATTGGAACGTCTGATTTAGTGAAGTTTTCAGACAGAACAAGCGCTGTGGGAAATTTCAGCTTCTGGCTCTGATAAATGGTGTAGATTCTGTGATTTTTGTGAAACATGATGCCTTCTGAACCCACTGGTGGGCTCTTTTGGGGAGTTCAGAGGGCTGATGCGGTCCTTTTATTCAGCTCTCCTATTGGCTGACAGAGGGGTCACGTGACTCACCACAGCACGCCGTATATCCTGAGAGGCCGAGGCATATAAATTGTGTCTCTCCCGTACACACCCGCGCGCACAGGCGCATAAATCCTTCCCTCATTCGACTCCCCAGTTGTTTCGGTGCAGCAGTGATGGATCACAGAGGCTGATTGTTCCTCAACAATCAGGCTTTATGTTGTTTCCTGCAGAGTGTGCGAGGACACGAACCGCTGCCATGAAAGACCCGGCAGGCGTGACTAGTATTTTGTGGTTTTTCTGTGTGTTAAAGGCAATAGCATCCATTAGTGCTGCAGTCTCAACAGACCTGTGTGGGCAGCCTCCGACTGCTGTCTCCTGTTATGATTCCTCATAGCTGCGGTTTGATTTTCATTTGTTTTTTAAATCAGCTCGGCCCACCGCCTGTCTGCACGCCGTTTTCACTCCAGCCGTCGGAACAAACATCTGTTTTTTTGTCCACCGGCGTACGGCTAGGTGCACTCAGTGGCCGTTTTTTTTTCTTTTTTTTCCAAGTGCACCTTCCTGTTTACATAAACAGATCACTCCTCCAGACAGTGAGTCACATCGACTGGACAGTAAATACAGCGACTGTCTCCAGTGCACGAGCAGAGCCGAGCGCTTGGGCTGCTGTCTACCTGAAGGTTACTCTGGACACAACACAGCTGCTTTGTAAGACGTGGAAACACCCTCGTCAGGAGGGTTGTTGAAGCTGTGAGATAAACTGCAGGTAAACAAGCGTACAACTTGTTCAGCCTTGAGGCAGCACGCAGAAGCACTAAAGAGACACTGATTTGATCACTGAAACTTAAAAGCGTGACAAACTATGCTTGTTTTTCTTTATGAAAATGGAAAATAAAAGAGTTTGAATCACATGAATGCAAAGATCCACACTGTTTCCAGGCTCTATTCATTCGCTGCTTCCTTGGCTTTTTAGACGTGTGTCCTTTTCATGAATCTGACAGCAGCTGAGCGAGTCGCTTCATGTCTGAATGAGTCTCCTGCTCACTTTTCTGTAAAAGTCTCAACTACTACGACTCAAAAACTTAGACCTGCATGCACAAGATCACGGCATATTTCAAGTCGTGTGATTTGGGGAAGACTTTTTTCACATTTCAGCTCCAGTATTGGCCCAAAAAAGTCTTTCAAAAGTGCCTTGCAAACTGAAAACATCCGTGAATATAAAACTTAATTAGATTAATGCGACTTACCAATACTAAATGTAATTTTTTTGTTATGATGAAACGTTAACAGGAGTTGAAGTCCAGTTTGTTGCTTCCAGCCGTTTGCAGGAGTCTTTCCTCTGACTTTATTAAACAGCTGCTGCATCTGTCAGCATCTTCCACAAGAATTTGTCGTCCAAAAAAACACTTCAGACAATCTGGACTCACATGAATACATCACTTTTAAATCTCTACGTGGTCTAGCTTCACTCTACATCTCTGATATTTTAACGTCTTATTCTGCACCTCGACCCCTCTGATCACTGACTAGTAAACATTCAGGAACAAGTTCCCCCTTTCCAGCTGCACAGACAGCCTTTGTATAGTGTTTAATGTCTTTTCTAATGTTTTAATGTGTGTCACTGTTCACACTAATGTTTTGTGTTTTTTTTTAATGCTTTGTTTATTTTAACATTTTGTAAAGCTCATTGTAAAGACTCACCCGCGCGCCTCATTTTTAATTTAATTTTAATCGACTTTTTCACAGCTGGGCGCTTATCTGAATATGTTCTGTTGTTTTTTGTAAATTTTTCACACTTTGAAATTTGAGGCTCTTTGAACAACACTATTTCAGAAGCAATTAAAGATAAAAGCCTGAAATTTTCACAGTTTTTTCTCATCCTGTCATTGATTCAGAGTCTGCAATATTGAACAAGTAGATCAAATAATTGAAAAAAAAAAAAGGAATTAAAGCTGTAATGAAAAAAAATGAGAATGCAGAAGTCAGCTCGTGATATTTTCTGAACTAGATGGAGCTACATGTCACAATAATATAAAATAAAACATATAGAACACTCTTTAATGTGAAGCACAAAAATGAGAAAGGTTATTTTTGTTGAAATTTCATACCTGATTGACAAGTTGTACCACAAAAACTGAAGGATTGCTGATAGAGTTGTGAGGTTTGAGCCCGTATTAGTGTTTCAATCTCATATCTAGAACCTTTTAGAGTCAATAAAGTCAGTTCTGTGTTCACATCTTGCTGCTCTGTCTCCACACGGCAGCGAGTGCAGAGTTAACACGCCGAAATGAAGCCGATGTTGATCTTTTCATTTCTCAATAATGCTTTTCAAAAAGCTCAAATTTCTCGGAGGCGAGTCGAGCACCGCAAAGTTGCTTCCACAGAAATTACAGGAACTGCACGGTGCCAGCGAGTCAGCATGAAATTAGACCTCTGTCAAACTATTTTGGCACCTATTGGACTCCAGCTGGAGCCGTGAAGGCCTCAAACGTTCACCCGAGCATCTCTCACACCGCTCCTTCCTCTCCTCCCTCCCTCAGGATAAACCTGGCCCCGACGGTGGGCTACGAGGACGACGCCGGCAGCCACACCACCCACCACTTCATGTACCCGGAGAGCGCCAAGAACCTGGCGGCCAACGTCAGCTTCGTCCTGGTTCCCTTCAAGACTCTGGACCTGGTCTGGATCACCAGCGCCCTGTCCACCGGCCAGATTCGATTGTAAGACGCACGCACACAGATACGCATAAGCATGGATTAGCACATATTTTTGGACGCACATGCATCCGCGCGGAAAACATGAAATGAGTTCTGCTGCCTTGACTTGAGGGCACACAGGCGCTCATGAGCTCGACGGCTTAAATACATCTCACTTTGCATACACGCCACAGAGCCGAATCGTGGGAGTTGCTGGGCTGGAACAATCTGTCAGACGTCAATCATCCCAGAATTCATAACTGCAGCAATCACATAAAGTGCTGATTGAATGAATTTAATCAATTTCTCTCTCTCTCTCTCTCTCTGGCAGTACTTACGCTCCAGTGAAGCAGTTCCTCCGCGTAGATAAAGACAAGGTGGGTATTTTCAGCCTTCAATTCAATTAATTTTTGGTGATTTTTTATTTTTTTTCCTACACACTCGCTGTAAAAAAAAAGCCACACACACACACACACACACACATGCATACAGTGACCCTGCAAGTATTTCACCCCCTCCCCATTGTTGATGAAGGATTACAGTTAGATTATAAAACCTCCTCTTTGTTTTTCAGTAATCTTCGACTCGCTCTTTAATCCGTGAAAATAAATAAACTCAAACTAATCCCCGCCATGTGAAGACTTTGTGGCTGTCTTTGCCCGGTCAGGAGACAGAGTTAGTGCCCCTGATAAAATATATATATATACGATTTCCTCCTCCTCCGCCGCCGTGGAGCTGCCTGAAGCCCAGAGTGTTTGTTGGGACTGAGCATCACCTGGAGGCAGATGATGAATTTGTAATTACTATTCATTCCGTTAAGAGCGCTTTTAATCTTTAGCGGTGATCGAAGCCGGGAGGGAGGATTAAAATTTAACTTGGCAAAATCTTTTCTTGTTCAGAAGGACCTTTTGAATATGCATTAATCGGTATTACTGCATAAGCAATTTGCACAAAATCTATAAATGTGAGGAAACTTGGGTTTAACTTTTACTTAACTCAGGATTAAGTGTGTCTATGGAGGTCAGTTTTGACAAACATTGCTTTTCATGCAGGATTTAGGGTTTTGATTTTCAGTCAAATCTACAATATGTTACAGTCTTTTTTTTTCTTTCTCCACGTGTCCATCCACCACCAGGTCCAGATCTTCAACCCGGCTTTCTTTAAGTACATCCACGACCGCTGGACCCGACACCACGGCCGCTACCCGTCCACCGGGATGCTGGTGCTGTTCTTCGCTCTGCACGTCTGTGATGAGGTTTGTTTTTTCTCTTTCTCTGTCTGCTTTCACATCACCACATCCTATAAACCCTCACATCATGTTAAAACTATCAGGGCTGTAGCTCATCAATCCTTTTCTATTAAATAATCTATCGACTGTTTCATTGATTTTTCTCAGCAATTCATTTTCTGCTACAAAATTCTAATCCAGTTATGACAGTTTTGTTTTTGAGTTCGGAGCTTTATGGGTGTATTCAGCAGCTACATGCAGAAAAGATATTAACCCTCTAAACCCCAAAAGCTTGAAAGTGGGTTTAAAAGGCATGTTGTCTTAAAATAATCACCAAAGTAACAATATTAATCAGAGCCACAAACTGTAAATTGGTAAAATCTAATATTAAAATTGTGATATTACATCAAAATCACATTATTCTACCTCTTATTTAAAAAAATTCCCAAAAATAAACCTTTTGCACTAATGAGATTCTTTAAAAAACAAAAAATTTCTGCACAGCTTCACAGAACAGAGAAACTATGGCTGACTCAGATGTTACTAACAGACACATTACAAAAATTCAGAGACTTTTTGGCTGAACTGTAGCAGCTGCGAGACAAGTATGAAAACAACTTAAAAGTGCATATATTTATACATTTATAAATATATATATTTTATAGTATAAATATATATTTATTTATATTTACACCATTTTTCCCCAAGTACTAGTAACAGCTGTGGGCACTTGAATTAATGATGTATATGCTGGTTTCAAGTTGTTGTTGTTTTGTTTTTTTTGTAAAATAGAGCTAAAAAGGAATTCGACTTTCTTTGTCTTAAAAAAAAAAAAAAAAAATTTATGGCATTGTAACTTTCCCACAATGAACAAAAGCCATTTCTGAGTTCTCTCTCCTTACAGTCATTGTTGTGTTGTTTCCATAGAGGTGCACAACTTTATATTGCTGTGAAAAATGAGGGAACAGTGAATAAAAATGTGACAGGAGCCAAATAAAAAAAACACCCCCATCTAAAAAGTTGTACCTACTAATCAACACTTACAGTGGTTTTGCCTTTTCTGCTGATGCACTTTTCCAAAATAGCGGCTGTGCGTTTTCTCTCCAAGTGTACAAACCACGGTTTTGTTCGGTGATAATTAGGGTCTGAGCACCCAAAAGGGTGCGAAGACCCTATTGGAACTGCTCGGATTATTATTATTATTATTAGGGTCCGAGCACCCAAAAGGGTGCGAAGACCCTATTGGAACTGCTCGGATTATTATTATTATTCGTGCCAAAGACACGCGTTTTTGAGGCCCTAAACATACTCGAAAACTCACCAAAATTGCCATG